TGTGCACATACAAATATGGGGTTTTGTGGATTTTTTTCAGCCATGAGACAAACCTTTAAGAATTTGTTGTTAAATTTATTGCTGGATAGATACTTATCACTACTGGAAAATCAGCTCTCCATATGGTTTCTTTCTTTTTGTACAGTTTGTACTTCTCCTTTGCTGGTTATGTGAGTATGGTGATTTATGTTATCTATCTAACGCAGTGTATTTTCTTCTGATGAGACAAAAACTGCCAGAACAGGAAAAATGCAAGTATGTGCTCTTAAACAATATGGTATCTTCTTTTTGTTGTCCTAGTGTTAAGTGAAGAGATGGTGAGAACTGCACTGAGCACTAGGATAGGATCTTAAATTTGAACAGTAAGAAAATATTTTTTGTTTTCTGCAGTTTTACCCAAAATTGTGGTTAAGTCCATAGCTTTTGAAATACGTAATTCAACTGGTGATGAGCGCTATAGCGATGACTGAGGCGTGACCTGCAATTTATTCCAGAAACCATGCCCTCTGCCTCATGTGTGACACTTTTATGTCTAGCTTAGGCATCCAGAGACGACTGATGTGTCCTACCCAACGTCCAAGTTGTGCAGACCCCGGGAACATCTGGTAAGGTGAAGCCTCACAAAGCCCTCCTGAATAATCTGCATGCCAGATTTAGCAACCATTCGTCATGCAACAGCTTCCAGTTACACACTTCCCTGTGGCTCAGATGCCATGCCAGGGAGTCCTACAACACTGTGGACTTCTGTGGTGCTCCCCTCTGGGAGCTACGTCCTGACTCACAGCCTTCCTGCAGTGAATGTACGTTCATTTTCCAGTATGTGTTTCCTGCAAGGAGGCCCATTAGGGGCAGTTAATATATTTAAATACTCTGTTCTTTTCTACCAGGCTTGTTATGGGTTGGTATAAATTCTTAGTACATTATGTCCTAGATTCTACTGGCTACATTTGTGTCACCTTTGTGGTAAGGAACTGTGAAAATGCTTTCAGCTGGCCAGCCTTAGTCATCCTGTCCCCTCTCCCCTCCCCCAGCTTTTTTTTTAATTCAAGGGTATGAATTGTTTTGAATGAATTTTTTAAAAAATTAGCACAGTGAGAAAATAGCATGTGTGTGAAGGCCCTACAGAACTGCATACATCTGTTCTGAGGCACAGACTGAGCCCCTGACACAACTGTGGTGTTCATAACTCCTTCTGTTCTGACTGTGCAAAAGACAAATTTGCCAAAATAGCCACTGTGTAAAAACGCCTGAAAGTTCCATTTCCAAATGTGAAGGCAGTTGTACTTTGCAAAGCCAGGGTGAGAGTGCTGCAGAGCAGGCCCTCCTCCGCTAAAGTAACAGCTTTTGAGTATCTGGACTCTGCGAGTCACTGGAGGAAAAAGCATCCCCAAGCGTGGTAAACTGACCAGCTTAATGGAAAGAAAACCCACTAAACATGAGGAAACCAGGAAGAAACTGGTTATTGTACTCTTTATGTGGGCATTCACTTCTGACCATAGTTGGAGACAAGATACCAACGCTGATGAACCTTTTCCTTGACAGATAAGAGCTGCTCTTGCAGGACCACTGTGCAGAACGTAAATGTAATCCATCTGCGCCATGAAGGTGGAGACGAGAAAGAGGCGAGGCTTTTCATAAAGGTAAGATATATATAAAAAACCATCTTTTTGATCCTATGAGAGCTCTGGCTGAATTACTGTGACTTAGCAAGAATATTGATAAAATTGCCCCCATCCCCCCACCCCGTCCCCTCAGCGTCTGAGTGCTTTATTCAAGTTCATAGCCCAGACAACACTCCTCTTCTGGAACACTCCAAAAAATGATGTGAGCCTTGAGAGGGAAGTGTTCCTCAATACTGACTGTCCCACATGCAAACTAGCCAGACTGGTTAAAGCTTAATTAGAAATTGCCAGAGTGGCTAAATTATTTTCTAAGTGCAGCTGCAAAATGTTAGCTGTGGGGATATTTTAGACATTAATTAGTAACACTTCCACTGGAGGACCAGAATCTTTCATGAATGCAGCTGTGATCAATTAGTATCAGTTAGGCATTTCTGTAGGCAATACAGGGGGTCTCCTGAAAATTGTTTTAGTACCCACCTAGATTAAAAAAAAACCCAAACCAATTTATATGCAACAAACTACTACAAAATCAAAGATCACTACAAAGTGTCTTTATTGAAAAAAAGCAGATTATAGCATCTAAGGTTAAATGAAACTTCTGACTTTAATATTAAATAACTTAGAATGATAGGAAGTAGCTTCTTCTTTAGATAAATAAATCTACATTTCCCAATTTTTTTCTTCAACAATCAAGGGAATCAAACACTGAAACACAAAACCACAAGTAATTCTAAAGACTAAGACAGAAGCACAATGAAAGGTTTTACAAGGATATATATATACAAAAATAGTTAAACTAATGTATATTTTCAGCATGTAAACTAGTTACATGATATACAAACTGGGAATTTATATATTTCCTACAAAATAAAAATCAATGTTGGTCCAAGTTCTTGGAAGAAAACTATATTCTTTTAAAGAAAATGAAAATATTTCTTAAATGAAAACTTAATTTAAGTCAAATTATATACTCTAGTTACGGCATTAGTTACAGGATGAATCACAAACTTTTAAACTTTTCTTGAAACACAAGAAAGCAGCTTTTGTCCCCTTTAGAGCTTTGGTTTACTTTACTATTCTGGAATTTCTGGTCTTAAAGAGCTCCTCTAACCATGTTTTTCTTTTGAAGCTCCACCTTACAAAATACATACACACACGTGCACACAAATTAAAGGAAAAGGAAAGAAACCCAAACAAACCCTCTTTGAAAGCTCAATTATCTAAGTGCATTCTTGTTTTGTTTCACCTTATTATTTTGGTTCTTTCTTTGGAATGCGTCCTCCAGTGCATGAGGGACTCTTGAATTGCCTACAACAGCTTTGTGCTGTAGAGACTTTTTAACATTCATTACCAGAATGGAAAGGTGTTGTCCTGATGCAAATGAGAACAAGTTGTTATTGTTTTAACTTTATGGAAATAGTCTGAAAAGTACAGCAAAGGCTTCTGAAGAACAATCACATCATAAAATGAACTACAGAAAGTTTACAGCTGTGTTGAACTGATTTAACATAAGAATACTCTGTAAGAAAGTCATTAAGAGAAGTTTTTACATCTACATAAATCCCCAGACAAGAGGTAAAATGTGCAGAAACTATCACTAGCACAAAAAAAAGAGTACAGCACATCATTGCTTTTATTTTTCTCTTTGATTGAAAAAAACCTAAAAAACCCAACTGGCAATTTTCACTCAAGCTTGTTTTTATACTAGAAGTTGGGAAAGCAAAGCTGTACTTTGTTATACAGTAATGGAACGCACTTGTCTATAGAAAATACTGGAATAAGAACTGCTGCTTTCTGGTTTTAAATAAATTGCTTACTCTATATTGAAGTATTGATACTTAATACAACTGAGAACTAGAAGAGACTGACAAATTAACATGTGAAATGAAATAAAATATTATTCTGTTCTACTGTACGATTGCTTTCAAAAAAGAAGAAAAGGTATGGTATGTACATGTTAGCTAGTGTGCTGTCCCTTGAAAACTATGTTGCAGTGGAAACTTAAACTTGCCACTTAATTTGGGTCCCTTAATATATGTTGTAAAGACAAGCAAGTGAAAATGCTTCAAAGCTAAATGTGGTCCAAAGCAGCTTCCTTACATGGAAAAAGTATTACACTGCAGCTGATGCTAAAAACTGTTTCCTGAAGCTCTGGTATCTTCCATGTTTGTAATAATCTTAAAGAACTTAAATAGTAATACACTCCAATTTAAGGCATTTTTTCTCCTTTTTCTAGCATTTGCTGTTTGGGCAAGAGGCACACATGTACTTCCACTTCCTGCTGAGGCTGGGCTGGTGATTATGAACACACGAGGTAACATTTGCAAATGCAGAAAAAAGTGTGCATGCACCCAATGTCCTCTCTTTTGCAGGCCTCTTAAGCCATACGGTAGAAAAGAGGCACTAGTTGCACTGTAGTTACTAGAAAACATGTCTGTCACATTAAATATGCTAATTATAAACTGATATGTATTAATTAGAAAATGACTTTTTAAAAGAGCATCTGACTTGCCAAGGAGCATTCAGTAGGACAGGTTAATCTAGGCCAATGAAAGTTTGGCAAAAGTTCAGAAAACATACCTTTTGTTCCTTGCTAACAGAAAAAAACAAAGTTCGCAGGAACTGTCCCTGCCCCTCCCTTTCCCCCTTAAGGAAATTCCAGACTATCAAAAAGTTCTGCTAAGGGAGTTAATTATTCCACTTAGGAATTAGTGTCCATTGGACGTTCTTTGCATTTTTTGAGAGGGGCTTTCAGAAAGTCAACGGAGCATAAGGAACTAAACAGCAATGGTGTTGCCAAATAAGTCATTTTACCAGTCTGCATGCTGACTTTAACATGGGATCATTTCTGAATGAATCCATCAAAATCTCAATGTTTTGAGAACTGGCATGGAAATGTCCCAGTTTACAGATGGGGAGAATCTGGTCTGGTATTTCCACTTCCTCTGGAGCAGACTAATTTTATTTTACTGTAATTTTTGGTACAGTTGAAGACAGCAATGATGGATTTATTTAAAATTTGAATTCAGGAAGGCTGGATTAATTCTCATGAGAATGCAGGGAATTTTTTTAAACATACAGATGTGTGATTTGCATGTAAATCATCAACACATGGTACAAAACAAACCATAAAAAAGATTCATCTAACTTCCTATATGGAAGACATATATTTCCCCAGAGCTCTGAGGTTACTGTAAAAGCTTATGCAAAACATGAAAGTGTGTACATTCTATGTACATCTAATACTTGTTGCAAAATACCAATGTTTAAATGGTCTCTCTGAATTATTTTTCTGCTAAACTGGACTTTGTTTTCCAATTAAGATAATCACCATAATCAGTTCAAAAGTACATCTAGAAAAGAACACAAAGCTGAAAATACAAAAAACACTGTCCCCTCTTTTTTTAATAATGTATCAACATACAATCATAAAGCAGTTGGTAAAAAATGGAGTCTTGTATAAAACAAGTAGCATAAATACAAGTGTACCTTTGCATAGAAAGGGGCAGCTAACCCTATTAAACAAAAAACAGCTTTGAAAGATGAATTCCTTATTAAGTGCCAAATCATCAAGCTGATACGAATGCATTTTGAAACCATGCCTACAGCTGTACACAGCAAGCAATTACAGAGTTCTGTAACTTTCTTCAACTGTTATGACCTTGCATGTACCAATCTTTTGGATATAATCCTCTGTAACGTAGTTTTTGAGAGATGCTTGCTATGTTTCTTCAACACTTCTTTGGATGACTGTGGAACCTTGTAGGACGGAAAGCTGGCCTGATTCTACTTTAGAGAATGCTATTATTTAACCCCTACTGAAAACTGTCCTTACTAAAAACACTTGTTTACTTCCTGATATCTACTTTTGAGAATCTAAGTTTTAAAAAATGTGAGCCTGTGTTCTCCAAGACCAGAATTCAACAAAGCTAGCTAAAATACTAGTATCTATCTTACCAAGTTTGCTGCAATATGATAAGGTGCTAACTTTTGGAAAGTACTTCAACACTCCTTACTTGGATGAAATCCCCACTGGAATAAAGTGAATAGGGAGTGCAGAGCAGCCCTTTGTACCATTGCTTTTAGAAATGCTGCCATTTACATTTACAGTTTAGTGCTGAATTATTTGTTCAAGTAGATGGTGTCTCAGTGAAAGCATCTAGATAAAAGAATGCATATGTACAAGATCAGAAAAGGACCCCTCACCTCTGATTTAAAAAATAAATAGCTGGTTTGACGGTTATTACTGGAATCTCATCTTTAAAGGAAAGGGAAGGAAAGTAATTTTTAGATATTTGTCTTCTCTTTCAAACAGCTTATTGGTAATGGAAATGTCTTTCAGAGTTCTGTGACATGCATCGGATAGCTCGGAGGTGGATGTGATGGCAGTTTAATATTAAGGCGCCTGATATGACAGCCATGGCAGAGCAAGTGGCCCTCTAATGGGTAACAACGATGGCCTTCCTCATCATTGAGCTGCAAGCCGCAATCCTAGAAGAAACATATACATCTCATGTTACTGAGTGATTCACGTGTCATCGCACAACAATGTTGATCTACCCAGCCTCTGAAGCCAGCAACCTCAAGAATTTTCTGCAGGTGGACTGTGACTATCTCATATTAAGCAAAATGACATTGCTGAAATCAAACGGGACAGTCTATAATAGTATGCAGCATTTTTTTTGCTGTTGTTTTCCATTCTGGTCTCTTATCTAAAAAATGTTGATGCAAATCAAACTAAAAAAAAAACCCCAACCCAAACCAGGCCAAGGACTGACCCTGACACATACAATCTGGAAGAGGTTAGGAATGAGAAGGAGCCAACTCTACAACAGGCAGCAAGAAATGGGGGAGCACAAGTGGACAAAATGGGTGAAAAAGCAGTGGAGGAACAGAGATAAAAAGAAGAATAACAAACAATGATCCTGCCGGCTGTTATGCATGCTGCAATAGAGACAATCCTGGTTTTCAGTTGTCCTCATTATTATTTGGGCATATAGGTCATTTTAGTATTGAAAACTGATGCAAAGTTTTTAATTGGACACATGCAGTTTTAGAATGGGGGCCTACTGATCTATAACCCTACTTAAACTTCTCAGCATAACTTAAGTGATTACACATGAAAGAGATCGTAGAGAAAAGCAGCAAGGTTTCATCACTGCCCACTGACCTTTGCAAGGCCACCAGTAATGATGACTTTAACAGTATTTCAGAAGTGGCTGGTCAGAGACTGCAGAAGTCTCCATGTGAATACCTCAACATACTGGCACTACCTTTTCTAGCATGATTCCAGGACAGCAGTGACCCAGAATGTAGTTTGAGAGCCTGATTTGAGACCATGAGGCAGTAACTTACCCGTGTTAACACACAGCTAACCCCTGACTTCTGTACATAAATGCAATCTGCCATTTTGGGCAGATGTGCAGGCAGCTTGATTTGCCTCAAACTGGAAGGAGAATGGGTAAATGAATAATGAAACAGAACAGAAAATAAACCCCCATTGGGACATTCTAACATAAAGTCAATAGCCTGAGAGAGAAGGGGAGGGAGCTGTCATTTTAGGTGAAGCCTGCACAAAGCACTAGATGGGGGAAGAAGGAGGAGGTAAGTACAGCTCTCCAAAATAGTGCAATTTCCTGTGCCAATTTCTTGTTAAAATTTAATAGAAAAAAGGATGAAGTACCAGGTATCTCTGTTGGAAGGAGAGAGCCAAGTGGAAGGGGTCTTCCTTACACCTATGTTCATATACTTTTCAAGATACTCCAAATTCTGTTATTTTCTCCCTCAATCAGAAGTCTCTTTGTAAAACTTTTTTTTGGTGCAAAAATGCATGGAAGATAATATTGCTGCATTTCTGCCTCTGGTGCTAAGACAGGTAGGATCTGTGTCGATCTTTTGGGTTGATTCCAAATTAAACAGTTTGTTTCCCTCCTCATGCCTCTGGATGCACAGCTAGGACTGAACTCAGCTCTTCTCTCCAAAGCAAGAGCACTAATCCCACAACCTAATCTGCCCCAGCAGAAGTCTAAATTTTCTGCACAAAAAAGAAACTACTGCCCAAAAAGCAATACAGTGCTATCCCTATTATTTTCTACTAAACCAAAACATGGTACTGGGGATGGCAGCACCACTTGCAGAACAGCTAGCACTCATGCCTCCCTCCAGGAGCCACAGGGCAGAGCCCTACCTGCCCAAGTGCACCCTGGGGTGCGAGTCAGGCACCTACCAAGAGGCTGCTAGGTATCAGCAAAGCCTTGCCGTGGGTTGGGCCAAACGCTTACCTCGCAGTGATAGCACTCCACATGGTAGTCTTTGTCCATTGACACCACCCGAATGGTCTCCTCAGAGCCCTATTGCAGAAGCAGAAAGAAGGTAAGAGGGGGCTTGTAAGTGGTGTTTCCTCCATCTTCTCCCAGTGCCCAATCTTTTGCTTTGCAGAGCTGCGTCCCTGGGGGATCCCTCCTCCTTTGCAGAGCAGGGCTCTGTGACCACTGGAGGTCTTGTCCCTGGTGCACCCCTGGTTTTCATGTAAGGAGCAGCATGCGTGTCTGACATATCTAAGCTGTAGAAGTCATTTGGGAAGTGTAGCCAATACTTTATCCTCAAGGGAGAAACTAGTCTTGAAATTAAATAATTTTCCAAGGGCACTCAGGTTCTGAATGAATTACCAGCCAAAACCTATGATATGCTGACTAGGTAACTTTTCTTTGTGGACATCCTGGCCTGAGTTTTCCAGGACTTGTATTCCCCTCAAACCATCTGCTGCACAGCTATTTTGCACATGCACATGTCACTGTATGTACCCCACAGGGAGCTACATACCAGTCCAGCAGGTAATTATGTGCATCAGCCAAAACCTCAGCATGAGAGTGGATATGGTGGAGTTGTGTAATTCCTGGCTGAGCCACAGGCCCTGCAAAGCAGCCTATACCCTTCTTGTAACCTCACAGACTCCCTGATCTGCTCTGAAGCCAGAGCTCATTAAATCTCTTGCCTTTCATTGTTTCCAGTTCTAGGTGTGGTTTAAAGCATCAGATATGACGTAGACTATGTCTGAGAGAAGCTACGGGCAAGTTAGTACCTGCACTGCTAGACTTGAACTACCTAAGAAACCTCCATGGGAAAGAATGTGGAGTCTACCCTGCTAGCCGTCACATGAGTCAGCAGTAGCACTGCTTTTTCTTTCCCCCCTTTATTTTTTTTATTTTTAACTCATTTTGTAAGACACAAATCCAGTGAAATTTAGAGAGGGGTTTTCTCCTGACATCCCATCACCAGAACAAGCAGTTCTGGCTCAGCCTTTATGAGGTTTTTAATTATGTGAGACCTGCCCATGTAACAGAAATAATAATGACAAATGAGACTAACATACAGAGTGATGGAGTTGGGCATGCTGAGAAGCTCTAGTGCCAGGCATAGCAGCTTATAGGATGCAAGCTCTGGCTCTATAAACTTGACAAGAGGAAAAAGAGGGAGGTGCTAAGGCCCCTGCTTACAAGTGATCTGGTCAGTGACCTCAGCAATGGGTCCTGCACCCTGAGAGTCTGAGGGACCACCACTGCAGGCAGGCAGAAAAGGGATGTCTTAATGAAGAAGTCTTATCATGCTAACTATCCTGTCAGGATAGGCTTAGGTTGCAAGTATTATCTTCACCTGGCTTCCCTCTCAGCCAACTTTTCTGCTGCCTTCTCAACCCTTGTAAGCACTTTTATTTCATTGCCGCCACAGGACAAGAGACTCTGTGGCCTTCTCACAGGGTCAGGGTAAACCCTCAGCTGCCTTTTCAAGTTTGAGCATCTTAACAGATCCACATCAGAAATGCAGATGCAGCAGACAAGGAAAATTGCTACTTGAGCTAATAGGAGATTCTAAAAATAAGCAAGGCTTCTTGGGTTGTTCTTGGAGGCCCAGTCAGAGCTTTCAATTAAATGAGATTTATAACAGCATAATTAAGAGCTGGAAAGCACCCTAAAGATACAAAGTGCTAAGCTGCATAAGTAGTATGACTATTACAACCTCTGTGAATGTTTGGGAGTGACATTACTCTGAACTGTATTTAATTTAGTATCTGACAGTATAGATTCTGGGAGAAGGAAGAAAAGCATCAAATGTGTTTTTAGAAAGTGTTCATATGCCAACAGCTGTTTTCTCTAAAGAATCGATGCATGCTAACATGTACCTGTGCTGGGAGGATCGGCTGGTTACAGGAAGCGCATTTTGGTGCAAAAACCCTAGGGTGCAAGAAGAAAGTGTTCAAATCACATTTAAAGCTTCTTCAAAAAGTACAACCAAAAGACCTATTCTAATCATGCCTTATTTTTAGAAAAATGGAGATCCACAGGATTCAAAACTACTCTAAGTGTTTGATGATACTCAGGGGAAAAGGAGACCAACGCTAGTCCAGCTTTATTGTTTAGCTCTTCCTGACCGCTAGGCATAGTGAACCCAGCCCTCTTCCCACATATGCCATTTCTTTTACCTACCTTTACTCAAAATCATTCAAATTCTTCCAGAGATTCACTGCTTTGACTGCAAAGCAGCTCCTGACTTGGGGATTGTCACTGATGCCAGGGAGACATAACTATGCTAAATAGAAGAGGGGCTGCTCGTGGCTAGGTTCTACTTAAACCAAACACATCAACTGGTCTTACTGTCTACAGCTGCATTTTATGACAGCAACTGGACCAACACTCACTCTATCCTTGAAACAGTCACATTGGTACCAATAGAGTTGAGTACCCTTGCAGCATAAGCTGAGTTACTGGTTGACTGGAGCTAACAGCACATTACCTTTCAGCAGGAGAAAGGAGTCCAAATGCCATCACTTAAACCACAAACTTTCTGTCAGGTGAGGCCGTAATCATTCTAACACTAGCTGCTAATTACATGTCTACTGTCCAGTCTAAACTAACCTGATTTACACTCACCAGTGTCATGCGCTACCAGAAAGTCAATTCTTCGAAACAGCCAGTAAAAACTTAACATCACTTGCAGAATTAGACTGATCTAATAAATACTGAAAGTCCTAAAAGAAGTAGAGAAACAGCCACCAGAAAAGTACATCCTCTGACATTTTCAACCTCACTTGGCGACTGTATGTTGCGCGGGGCCCAGGAAGTGACCTTTTATATAACTTTAAAAAGCTCTACAAATGCCAACATGTGAGAGCAGCATTTAGACATCTGAGCAAACAGGAATGACCCTTTTTATCTACAACTTGCATAGGCTTATAATTATAAGGTTTATAAGGCTTATACAGGCATATAACTATACCAATAATTTAACTACTATAATTTTACTAAGCATCAATGGATTTGCATACTTACGTATGGTAATCTTTCACGCAGTAAATATTGTTCTCCACATCTACAGTGAAAGGGACTCCATCCAAACACTCGTTACACACTACGCAGCGGAAGCAGCCAGGATGGTATGACTTTCCAAGGGCCTGTAAGATCTTAAGAGGTGGCAAACAGCAAAATAAGTAGATGCCTGATTACATGAGATCCAACCCTCATATACCGCTGTGTCCGATTCTTAATAACGACAGTGAGAAAAGCTCTTCAGGATGAAATTACCACTCCACAGATCTGTCAGCAGGAGGCTTTTAAAACAATCAACTTGCTTATTTCAGTGGGTTTCAGTTGGCTCCCAATAAAGAGAGCTAACTGTGAAAATCAGTCTAACACCCATCAGCCGTAGCTCTGCAGGGCCAGTACTGCCAACAGAAATTAAAAACAACTTCAGAGACCACTTCTTGGAAAATCTGTGGCAGCCAAACACAAGTTAATGGGATACAGAGTTAATTTACAAAACTCAACAGGCTCTAACAGACAGAATCCACACCAGTCATTACTCAAACTTTAAAATACCAAACCAATCAAATAACTAGGTGTCCCTTCATTAATTAAGGATGCAAATTCACCAATTACTGACTGATTATCACTCAGTCATAGGGGCCCATAAGTTTCTGTTAAAATTCCATCTGTTTCCATGTGTATGGATATAGATCCATCCATCTGCCCAGGCTTTTCCCATGCTGACCTTCCCTACTTCATTTTAAAGGTTTCAAGCGAAGGGCTTGACACAGTCAGTCTCAGTTACACCACCACAGAACAGATCCCCACCCTCCTGATATCCCTGTCTGTTACCCTCACTGTGGCACTGGGACATCAAGGAGGAAGCACCAAGCCCATGAACAATCCTTTGGGAAGAGTGAGACATGGTATCATCTTCAGGCAGCTCTCAACAGGTTACAGCACCAACTGCGTACATTTCAGGTGTAAGAAGTACCTTTGGAAGGTAATTTCAAAAAGTATCTGCTAGCAGCAGTGCTCAGCTGGGAGCTGCTAATAAACTGGAGATGAAGATCTCCACGTGCCAATCTCCATGGCCCTGTAGATGATTCTATGAATAATGATCAATTCAACAGGAAATAAGAAGTGCCACATAGGAAAAATGTGCAAAGTCAACTGAATTTAACCTTCACTCTCCCCCTTCTAATGAAGGCCTATAATTCAGTTTTGGTTTGCAAGCCTGTTACTAGCCAGAAACAACTCACCCGTGTGTGTTGTGAATGAGGCAGATATGCAACACACACATGCCATAGCCTGGCATAGTTGGCAGCCACCCCTCTGCACAGAGCAACTACCTAATTCAACTGCACTTTCAGCCTTGAACAGCTTCAGGTATGCTCAGGGCTGTTGTGCAGCTCCCTGCTCCTCAGCTGCACATGGTCACCACTGCTGTGCAGTCATTTTTATTGTATGTGCACTCTTACGGAGCAGCACCAAGGAATCAACCAGACAAGACTGCTTAATTCCTGGAGCTCCGAGAGCTGTTTCCTTTTGTCAGAGCACACTTCCAGATGGGAGAAGGGCAGACAGGTACCTGCCAAGCTTCCAGCTACAGAGCTCCACCAATTATGGACTCTTGCCTGGGATTCTGCCATTAAGGGCCAGCGCAAAGCATGCAAGTCAGGATACCCCTCCCAGCATGACAGAACTCTAGAAATTTGCTCTTGGGCTAAAATAAACAATATCCTTGTCCAACCAGTGGTGCCAGGATACGAGCCAAAATCCTTGTTAGTTACGTCTCAGTTCCAGCTCGTACCGAACCTCTGTGTGTGCATCGCAATAGCTATTTCCATTAGGCACACTGAGGTTCATGTACCTTTTAAAGAAAGAGGAAAACAGATATACTACATGATCTGCACTACTTTAGTGTGGAAGCCACTTCATTTTGTTTGGGAATTTCTCATTAGGATGAACAGACTTGATTCTTCCTACTTTCACCTACTGAAATAAATGATGCCAGCAGTATCTGGCCCAACCCATAGTGCTTTGATTCTGACTGCTGTGTCCCTACAAATCCCAGGGCAAAATGCATTTTAACTGACATGGAGCAATTGGCAGAAGGTAAATAAAGTAAGTAACATATCAGGAAACAACCTCAGGACTACTGATACTGTCTCCTCTCTAGCCCGGTTTCCCTTCACCTGACCAAGCTCTTGCTATTCTACTGTCTTACAGAGCACACCCTATTTTCCTTTACCATGTTCTCATACAAAGCTGTGCTGTATTTTCCCTCCTTAGTATTAAAATTCCATTTATCTTTTTGTTCTTAAACTGGCATGTGGCAGAACAACAGCTTTCCATGATCTCAGCTAGAAAAGAAGACCAACTTACTGTACTTTAAAAGTAATAGAGCATAAAGGTATTTCTGTTTATTTACTGCCTAAGTTTCAAATGATAGTTGAAAGTGGTGAGGACACAATGACAGTCTGACTAGTGAAAAGCACAATGTCTCACAGTGCAGAGCCTGAAGTACATGAACAGCAAGCTGCTCCACGGTTAGGGATTTAGGTCTCTTACCATTTCCATTATGAGGTGTCCACAAACAAAGCACTTGTCCGCTGTTTGCTGAAAACCTGAATACTATTCAAACGACAGAAAAGAGAGGATTATTAGTAGCCACTCCTCTAGCTGCAGAAATACCTTTTAAGTGAGCGCTATGCTATTTTCCAGCCTGTGCTATCTATATGGCAACAAACTTATACAATAGGTTTGGGACATAGTAGAAGCCTTTGTTTTGCTCTTGCAGCATGCTCAGATACCAGCTTGGCTTTCCCCTGCAAGGTTTCCATTGAGATTTTCAAAGCAGCAATATTATTTTAAAGTTTGATTTTTATTTTGGAAGCCTAATTGTCAAGTTTGGTGTGTTAGAACTCACTTGACTTAACTCTTTTGGTTGATAATATTGGGTATGTAAATAACACAGGACTTCCCTCTCAACTCCTGTTCAAATTAGTGAACAGATGTTTATTGATCTCAGATACTGACCTATATTTCACTCTTACATGCAGGCTAGAAAAATGAATGCAGGCCCAAGGAGGATTTAGCTGTCTCATGGATACCAGGCATTTCATCCAGGGAAGAATCTAAAAGTCCAATCATAGGAGCTCGGGCTCCCTGCACAATGTGAACAGTGAGGTACCTCAGAAAGACGATACAAACCCCATCCACCAGCCTATGCTCCAGCCTTCAGTGGGAAATGGGAAGGCTGGGCATGCCTGGCAGCAGAGCCCTCTCGGGTTCAAATGCCAGGGGCACAGCAGCAGGGAGTCGGCCTACCTGGGACCAAAGCTCTATGTTCCCTGCCTCAGTCATTTTGACCTTAACTTGTATTTGCGTCCCCAAAGCAGATCCTTTTTCAGATGCCAAAGTCTGTCTTTAGCCTTGCGTTTAGAAGCGTACAAAAAATACCAAGGTTATCAGGCCAGACAACTGGTGTACCGAACAACCGCCCTACAGGCAAGAGGAACTCCAGCCGTGTAATTCTGAAACTGGTATTTGCGGTGGCTGAACTGTACCCTCAGCCACTGCAGTCCCATATAAGCAAAGTGGTGCTCACTCTTTCCTGACAGAGGGAAGGGGTGCCCAGTTATTTGTATGGTACTGTAGAGTGATGCTTATTTCAGCAATTAAGGTTGTAGCAAAGCTCACCTGAAATGTACTTCAGTTGCACAAGATAAAAGAGGGGGAATGGGGAGAATGACTGTAAGCTGGACTCTACTCCCAGAGCACAGGTTAACTGGCTCATGCATCTAACGCATCTTCAGAGCCTCATCCCAACAGAGCTTAGGGCTTGCTCCATCGCCCCTTGATTTAGTGCAGATTAACTGTCCTCTCACTTCACAAGCAAGTGGTTCCTGCCTAGAGCTGCCATATGTTTTCCTTTCTATTGGTGTTAGAGGATCACATACTATTTCCAATCAATACACTGGAGACAAAACTATTGTTGCTATGCAACAGAGTAATTATAAAGGAAAAGGTCTCGCAGACTCTCTGACGAGCCCAGAAAGTCAGTACACGACAGTATGGAAGCTGTCACAGCTCCAGATTTACTCCACACTGAGTAACACATTTTATGTAATCCTAAGAAACTGAAACTTCATGGAAAGAGACTTGGGTGCTCAGGAACAAATACAGAGTCAGACAGTCCTAGCTGGCTATTACTACAAGATACCGGTTTGCCTTTTTCTTAGAGATGCAGAACAAAAGGCTTCACTGATTGGGATGCTTCTTGGCTGCACTGTATCTGAGTAACCATCTGGCTAGACTATTTCCTAAGGTTGCAAACTCGAGGGTTACTGGAAACAGGTGGGTAGGTCCAAGTGGCGCAGACAGCAGAAGATTAACAATAGTACAAACCCAGCTAATTCTAAAATCCTGCTGGAATGAATTTACCCGCTCCATCTGGCTGTCATTTGATAAGGAATGCAAAGGAGCATTTATCCAGCTATTGATTAAGAGGGAACATTACTCCCCTGGAACAGAGTGGTACAGTGGTCAGAATAATGTCATTTATTGCTAACTAGATTGTCATAAATTAGACCGTTTGTCAGAAAGAAAGGTTTTGCTGACACAAAATCACTCTTTATATGACTAACCCTATTAAATTAAAACCATGATTTGTTTTTAACAAGAGAATTATTATTTGTCAAACACAACCAGAACTGGATTACCCAATTAAGACTTTGCAAAAGGGCAGTAAGTCTAATAGCAGTGATAACATATTTCATGGGTTTGGGGAACTGTCCTTTACCACTACACTCTCTTCTGATCACAGTCTTGATCCCAGACAAACAGTGAGATCAGAGTTTTGGATTCATCTCTGCTTGTGTTTTAAATCTACTTGGCCTGGAACAGAGAAAACAGCCTCAGATCCCTGCAGCAGTTTCCTACATGATGGTAATAATGTGAAGACTGGTGTTTAAATGTAAATAATAAATAATTTTCTCTGCTTGTCAACTTCTGCTTTGCAGTGTTTGTTCTTAACTTGGAGACTTCAAACAGGGCTCTTGTGCTAAGTTTTCAATTTTAGAAGCAGAGCTTACCAATGAAGTCTTAAAATACTAATTAAAATTGGCAACCTCTGTCTTTGAAGCATTTTATTATTATTGACCTTCAGAAATCCTGCGTGTGCAATGAGAAGTTGTTACTTGCTCCAGACTGCAGACAAGGCAGAATGGCCTCTTTATTATCTCTCAGCACACCCAAGAGCTTCCCCAGTGGTCGATGCCCAATGTGGCTGGGTGGAAGAAGCACTGGTCCCCCAGAACTAACTAGGTAACTGCAAGAGAAGAGGAGGTTATGCTCTACAGACTTGTAGCCTCTTTTATTACTGACACAGTTGGAGTGGGGAAAATGAGCTTTTGCACACACCAGCCCCCCCTCACAACCTGGAGACGTGAAAAACAAATTGAAGTGAACAGTGAAGTAATACGGGCTGATAGGCAAGAGCCTTGTGGAGAAGCCGCCAACTCACAGCTATGCTTCCTGTGCACAGGGTATTTTATATTGCAGTTTTGTTTGGGATGTAAGCAGTTCTGGGCTCATTTCTAGACTTACTCTATGAGGTTTTGTACGTGCCAGGCTTTTTGGGGGGGCTTTTTTCTTTTTTTTTTTTTTTTATTTTGTTGGCAGACCAGTACAATGACGTAAATACAAACCAGTCTCCAACTAGACAGAAATGTCCAGAAGTCTACAGACAGCCTGTACCCAGGACACATAAGAAGCTTAATTTTCAACTTTCCCAAATATTCATTATAGATACTCACTAAGTATATATAAAAACTTTGAAAGAAGTTGCTATTAAAAGAACACCTCTAAGATTCAAAGATGAAAATTAACTATTACCCTCTACTCTCGCTTCTGTGACTTAGAAATAAGATGCTAGTTACCATGATGCAAAGAAAACAAGTGTATCTTGAAGAGTTGGCATGGTATTTTTCCTGATTTCTTAGTTTGGTCCCAGGTGTTTCCTCCCGTATTTACCTTGTCCTCCCAGGATAACAAAATCACACTTCATGTGCATGAATCAAGACCCTGTAATCAAGCTTCCCAATGATACTTATATAAAATAATACTCTGGGAAACTAAATAAACCTTGAGAAATATGTTGATTATGTTAGAATAGAAGAGTAAAAACAAAGTAGAAGACTTGGTTTGCTGATCCTTTCTTTTGTTTGCTGTCCAATATACTTTGATTATCAAACAGGCAAAAAAACCTCTCTAATGATTCTGTCCAAGAGTCTTTGTTTCAATGCAAGAAGAAAACAAGTCCCCTTCTGTCCTGAATATTTAGGCCTCTTAGTGATATCACCCCTGTGATAATCTTGGGGTTTACAACTCTTCTGTCTAATGTGCAATACATCCAAAAGAAATTAACAATGAATTTTGCGCATATAATGAACAATTATGCATGGAGGATAATCCCACTAAGTACTATGAGAAACAATTTCTCCTGTCTGCCCTCAGTCCTGTAACCAAGCCTGGTTGTCTACACGGGGTCTTTTAAAGTTTGATCTTCTTATCGCTGTTTTCTAAAGCAAAAAGCATTCAGAAAATAGCATGCCTGAAAAAGGCTGCAGGACCCCAAATTTCTACCTCAGGCAACGCCAGATCTCTGAAAAGACATGTTGCTGCTTCTCCTTCACATGCCTAACCGTGCCCAAGGAGAGGCTGATGCACTTCCCTGCTGTTATGCACTCAACAAAACAAAACCTCCCTCCTGGAAACAGATCCTGGAATCTCATTCAAGCCTGCTTTCTTCTTTGATGAGGATGTTCAAAACCTGCTAAAGGTTTTTGCAAGCAGATCGAGAGGGTTACATTTCAGTAGGTGGGGCAGTTGCTGCCCCGGTAATGGTATGAAGCCATAAAAACTACAATTCATTGTTACTGCACTGCAAACTCACCCAGTGTGACTGCTCAGCCTAGACTTGAGATTCCTACTCTTTTATGCTTTAAGGGCTTCTGAGAGGGATGATCAGGAGTTTTTGCCAAAACGCCTCAGGCATTTAATTCTGAAAACTAATTTCTGAATTGGGTGCTATGCTAATAATGTATTCCAACCCCAGGCTGCCTGTAATCCCTCACAGACTCTCCTCTCCTTGGTTTCCCATTAGCGGAGCATCTGTCTTCTCGCTGCTTTATTGTCTGCTCTCTGCATGGGATCCTCAGTACATGGGACGCAACAATGCAAGAAATTCATGGGATCACTTTAAGAGAGGGAGAAAATATCAAATCTGGTTTCATGCAGATGGGTTTTGCTGTTTGTCTTTTTTTTTTTTTTTTCCACACATATTGAAAGGCAGCAATCAAACTGAACTGAACAAAACGAGGCCTTCTCAGGCTCAAAGATACAGGAGCCTCATGGCAGGTGTCGCAGAGATTAAAGGAAAACAGTCCAGAACTTACTCTTCATCTCACCGAAACTGCTTCATATACTCTGTTGCTTAACCCTGCCTTGCTGCCAGTGAGGAAACACTACCACAGCTTATCTTCTTGCTTCTGCGTTTCCACTTTGTTATGTTTGAAGGACATGGGTAGGGCAAGGAGGGACTTCATGTTCTGCACAGAGGTAACAGTCGG